ATAATAACATGCACAAAAACAAGACAGAGCAAAAGAAAGCAACTAAATAAAACAAAACAACAATAATAAACCAATGACAAAAAAAAACACAACGAGAAAGAAAAAGCTTGTAGTTAGTTCAAGGATTGTTCATTGGCCTTTAGGAGTGTTTTCCAGTTGAGTCTGGGCTTTATTGAGGTACATCTTGGAGGCTTTACATATGGACAGATGTTGAGTAATTCCCCAGCCATGCTTTATTTTTTTATGTAGACTGTGTGGCCCCAGAATCCGTGTAGTCTCTAATTTTATCATTGGTGGGAAGTTTTAGCTCTAAAGAATAAGGAAGCTATCAACTCTTTATTTACTTGAATTAGTTTTGTGAAGTCAAGAATGTGAGATGAGAGGTATAGGTAAAGAGAGTCTGGGTTGATCTACTTTATGCCATCCAGTAGCCACACCTGGGTAACAGAGTGATTCTAAGCTATAAGTGCTTGGTCATCTATAAGAATCAACTTGATGGCAGAGGGTTTGGATTCAAAACTGTAATTTGTAAGTTCTTTCAAGTAGTTAATTAAAGGAACAGTCTAAAAACCTGAAGTATCAATCATGTGTTCATATCTTTATTAAAGAGTTTCTTGTTTTAAAATATATATGTATCCCTTTCCTCTCCCCTCCCTCCACCCACCGACTGGGCAAAGAAGTAATTTTTTATAGTAGACAACTTGGAAACAACCAGTTTGTTTGAAAGATAAGCAAGAGATAAATTTTCTCTCTTTATTCCCTCCATCAAAGATATAGTCAGTGTTAACATTTTGTCATATGGAGGAGTTTCCAAAAAAGTTGGTGAAAAAAATGGAATTTTTCCACTAATTCTTTGAAGCCTCCTTGTATATATGACCAGATATCAAATGTGTTTCAAACCCCCCCCCCCCAAAAAAAAAACCCCTCAGTGCCATAGGGTCAATTTAGAGTCAAATGTTCACAGATAAATTTTTTACGTATATGTATACATTTTATTGTGATTATGCTATAAATGTCTCTGTTGTCACATACTGTGCATACTTTTCAAAGCTATTTTTAGTGACGACCATACTCTTTATGATGGTATAATCTTTTAAGAAATTCATGAACTAAGGCATTTTAATTCTGGTCATGTGAAGAACAGTAAGATATTATGTTCTTATGTTTGTATTTAAAACCAGTTACCTCCTCTGTCTTATTCTTTGATGTCACATTGCATCAATCCCCTTTCTTTGATTTCTTGATGTTTGTTTGTTGGAGGGTATATAAAATCTTTGAGATTTAAGTACTACTGAGATTTGGGAGAATCCAGTTTTCAAGGTTGTGTTGAAGTTACCCCCTTCCTTTACTCAGTCTAATAGTTGCATGGTCTTCCGCCACTCCTCTTGTTTTTTCTTTTTGTACTAGTATTTGCAGTTCCCTCTGAATTTGCAGATGGAGCAGTTATGTGATGTATACATAGATACACTGTTTGTCTGACTGTAGATATTGGTCGCAGGGTTTCAGAGCGCATTAGACTCCTGAATCTTGATCATTCTTTCATGTACTCGTTTGGCCATAAGTAAAACAGATGCCTGGCACTTGCCATTGTCTGTATTTGTGTAAACAGGTGCTCACATAAACAGCCTGCCAAAATGTGTGATGCACAGAACCCACACAGGAAAATTACACGAGCAGGGTTTGCCTAGTTGGCAAAACATGTATAACTCATGCATCATTTGTGTAAAACTAAGGTATTTGTAAATTGACTGATTTTTTTCTTTTTGTCAACTAAGCCTGTTATTTTTGTTATTATTTACTTTGCTTTGTGGCTATTGTGAGCCCTCTTCCTTTACTTATTAATATGTGCACTTGTATTGTTGGATCTCTGCAGAAGACCTTTCTTAAAGTAAAAGGTGCAGTATAATAATCCCAACTGTGTTTCTCCCTTCTTAGGATTCCTACAGGAAACAAGTAGTAATTGATGGAGAAACCTGTCTCTTGGATATTCTCGACACAGCAGGTCAAGAGGAATACAGTGCAATGAGGGACCAGTACATGAGGACTGGGGAGGGCTTTCTTTGTGTATTTGCCATAAATAATACTAAATCATTTGAAGATATTCACCATTATAGGTGGGTTGAAACCTAGTGAGCCATTTAAAACCTGATCCAGAGGGGAAAATGAGGAGCTGATACCAAGGGCTCAAGTAGAAAGCAAATGTTTTCAGAATGATGAGGAAAACAAATGTACAAATGTACTCCACACAATGGCTGTATGTGTGGATTGTGATGAGTTGTACAAGCCGCCGATAAAATGATTTAATTATTTTAAAAAAATCCAAAATAAAAAAATTAGAAGTCGAAGTTGGTTTACAAAGATAATATCCAAGAATTGAGAGATTTGGTAATTTTGGAATATTGCAAATCTCCAATTATTATATTGACTACTTGTACGTTATTTGAAGTAGATGTCTTAATAGGTTGAACAAAAAAACCATGTAACAAATAGAACTGATACTGAACTTAAGCAAGAATTGCTTTTAAATAATTAAAAAATGTGTATTGACTTTATTCTATTAGAGTAATGCTTTACCAAGAGTAATCAAATATTCATGTTGAGATTCTTTTAGGGGATTCTAATTTATATGACCTTCCTTGGTAATGGATACTTTTAGGAAGACCCTAGGTAATTTTGATATGAAGTCCTGGCTAAGAACTTATGTTCCAAACAGTCAGTGTTCTCCATAATAAAAACAATTCCCTAATTTTGGAAGTGCAGAGAAAGGATTGGGAAGGTAGAGAGTAAGGAGTGCTGAGCACTGTGCATATAATGAGAGGGCTTCAAAAAATTGGTGGATAAATTTTATCATTTCAATTTTTCCAAAAACTATGGATCTACATGTTGCCTAGTTTAAATTCTAAAATAAATTTAGTGATATAAGTAAGCTTTCCAGAGTATATTAAAGTTCTTAAAAAGGATTAGAGCAGCTGAGTAATTTGTCTCATTATAGAGAGTTGAACGTGGTGAGGCTGGGCTTGAACCTTAGACCTGTTGGACTCTAATAAAACACCTTGTTTTTTTGACTACTCTATGTTAGAGAAAAGAGACTTTGAACTTTCTAATATCAGTCATAAAATTAAATATCATAAATATCAGGAGATTTTAGGTCATATTACTCAAATAGCCTTAGAAATAATGAAGTATATTTGGGGTAAAGTTTCTTGGCATTGGATGAATATCCATCTGGGTTATTTTTTTTAAATGCTAAAGTTGTTTAAAAAAATTGAAGAAGTAGACTAATGACTTTTTAAAGAATATAACAAATATGCATAAAACTGACTACATTTTAAAAACAACAGTATCTTTATGCTTTAGTAATGGAGAAAAAGAAATTTGGGTGGATGGAAATTGGGTAGATTAGTATAAAACTTAAAAACCAAACTCACTGCCTTTGAGTTGATTAAGACTGACAGCAACTCAATAGCACAGAATTCAACTGTTCTTTTGGGTTTCAAATATCTGTGAGCACAGATAGCCCCATCGTTCTCCATGGAGCAGCATGTGGGTTCGAACAGCTGACCTTGTGATTAGAAGCTCAATGCATGGCCCACAATTCATGGGTCCCAGTACTCCTCATAGATGAGTATGTATACATATATTGGTTAATAAGTAGAGGAACCAAATCAGATTCCTGCTCTTCCTATTATGCTACATCTTTGAAATTTGCCTAAAATGGTGAAAATAACACTTCCTTCCAGAATTAGATTTTGTGCACATCTTATTAAAAATTAGCAGCCACATAAGTGTACTTTTCACAATAAACAGAAAAATGAATTCAGTACTTTTCACATAGAAACCAAAATCTTTCCCTTGGTACCATTTCTTTTCTGACAGAAGTTAAAATTATGTTAATATTATAATTCATATTTTCATAAAATACTTAAAAATTAGAGCTATAGTTTAACAAGAGTAGAGGATATATTCTCAAGATTTTATATATATTTTTTAATTTACGCAAAAACATTTTCAATATTTTGCTTTATCATTGTGACTGACCTGCATGTGAACCTGTTGTCATTTTACTGTATTTCTTTAGTATTTGATCTATTAAGGATATATAATAAAATCTGTCTGTAAGGTGGAGAAAAATATAATTAGATCTGGAAGACAAGCAAAGAAAGCTTAGTATGATGGAAGTTAGGCAATTTATGTTTTCCTTCAACCAAATTTTATCAAAAGTCGTGGAGAATTTGGGGAAGGTTTTTGAGTCACTCATGTCTGCTGTACCTTTTTTCCCCACAGAGAACAAATAAAAAGAGTTAAAGACTCTGAAGATGTACCTATGGTCCTAGTAGGAAATAAGTGTGATTTGCCTTCTAGAACAGTAGACACAAAACAGGCTCAGGACTTAGCAAGAAGTTATGGAATTCCTTTTATTGAAACATCAGCAAAGACAAGACAGGTAAGTAAAACTGCTAACAGATATTTTTTTAATTGATTGAATTCAATCATTAGTCATGAGTTACTAATATGTATTCTAAAAGCATCATTATGGAGTTAGGGCAAGAACATTTATAGATGAATCGTAAGCGATTATATGATGTGATTTATCAGATTTTCTTTCTATTAGGAGAAACAAGGAAATAATTATTTGGTAAATGTTAGCTTAAGTATATGACAAGATAGCACTTCTTGATTCAGTGCTCATGATACTTCTTTTGGATTTGTTTTTTCCCATTTTGAAGAAGTTCTCTTACCTCTGAACAACACCTTACATTCAGGATTCAAGAAGTGTTAATGGGTGTTTTTACTGTCATAAATATAAAGAGAGGCAAAGAACTGGGCACAAATTTGGGGTTTCTTATTTTAGAAGTGCTTTTAAGAGCATTGTGTTGTATTTTTAGTTAGGTTTTGTTGTTTCTCTATGAAGAATTTTACTTTAACAATATTTTTAAATGATGTGTTTATTTTTGGAGGAGGTTTTTACCTAAAGCAAGAAAATATTCAGAAGGTAAATAGAAATTCTCCCTCACTCACTCACTAAATTTTTAGGACAAAAATTAATGCCAAGTGGACAGTGAATTTTGTTTAAAAGTAACCTTTAATTTAAAGGTAACTATCTAGGTAAAAATAATTTCAATTGATCCTAGAAAAGAATATACAACCTTGTGATGGAATATGACTTTCTCCTAATAGGAGATTGATCAATTTATGTTTCACGGAAAGTGAACATTTGTTTGGGGCTTTTCTGGTTACATGTTCCTGTGATCCCAGAAAACTGACTTTTTGGAATTTATTTGGAATTTGGAATTTACTTTTTCTAATACAATGTTAAAAAGTCGATGAATAGCTTATTAAACAGTTAAACTTAAAAGCAGATATTCTGGTACTTTCAATGAATTGTGTAAGGCTGTAAGTAAACATTTTACAATTCAGCTATTATATATTTCTGTATTCCATGGGGATGTTCATATGGACCTCTGATTAGGTGCACCAATATGGTAGCACATGGTAGCACAACAACAAATTCTATTTTAGGAGTTTTGAAATTTAAAAACTGAATTTCTATTGTTTGATCATTTTTTATAGTACAAATATCTCATAGTAATTTTACTAACAATTTATACTTTAAAAAAAAGACTCAATATGAATTCTGTTAAATGGATTGAGATTTCATTCAGATTTATTTCCAAGTCCCAAAGACTAGGACAAAGTCTGATTTGTTTTGTTTTTGCCTTTTTCGTGGTCTTTCTGACCAGTATTCTGAGTTCCTGAGAAGAGGTGCTCAGAAATCATGATTTTAATACAGCGTAATATATTTCCCCTCATATTGTCGTAAAACATTTTTTATCTATACAATTGAAAGACATTTAGAGAAAACATCTGCAGCCTTACTACCTAGACCCTACTATAAATGTCTTGCTACAGTTGTATTAGTTCTAGCTTTCCAAAGATGCTTTAGATTCGTGCATATATTCATTTACATTTCATAAAGCAAAGAACGGTCTTAAGCAGTGCTTCTTATACTTTAAAAAAGCACTAAATCAACTCGAGCAACTTATTAAAATCCAGATTCTGATTCAGCAGATCTGGGTTGCTATCTGAGATGCTGCATTTCTCTTAAAGTCTTTGGTGATGCTGATATGGGTGCATAGACCACCGTCTGAGTAGAAAGCAGTTACTGTTGGTGAGTGCTGATGAGTCCAGTTTTGACTCTCGTCGACTCCATATGTCCCGGTAGAATGTCCTCCGAAGGCTTTCTAAGCTATAACCCAGAAGAATCTTAAGGGGAACAGATCACCGAATCTTTCCCTTACGTAGCTACTCAGTGTATTACAGCTGCCAACCCTTCGGAGCTACTAAGTGGATTACAACTGCTAGCCCGTTGGTCAGCAGATAAACGGTTAACTGTTGCACTACCAAGGCTCAAAACACTAAAAGAGAGTCTTTATCCTGTTCCCACAATGTAGTCCTCCATTTCTCATTTGATAAGAGCCTAAAATAGCCATCATCTTTCTCCTTGCGCAGTTATTTCCTAAGTACTCATTCTTGGTATTTGACACTAAAACATATGTACTACAGCATACATAATAATTAAATAATAAACTACCTGGCTTTGAAAGTAGATTTTTGTAGGTGTCATAATGCTTTGTGGTATTATTTACCAGTGTGCATTTTGAAAATGTATGTAGGGTGTATGAGATGGAAGTGGGGTAGTTTAAAGAAATTTTGCTTTATAGACCTTTATGTGGATCATCTAATTAAAATGTAGAAGAATATAATATCAAAGAATACTTGTACTTCCTGACTTTCTGCCACTTAACCTCTCATAATTATCTCTCGTTTTGTTGATGTCTTCTGTGTAATTTTTTAGATATTTAACTTTTGATCTTTTTTCTTTTCATTATTAAATAGAAGTTGATTTGCTTTAGAAATGAATTTGTCTTCAAACGTTTTATTCCATTTCCTTTGTGGAAATTAATTCGCTATCTGCATGCTTTCAGAAGACTTTAAAGAGCTATTTCCAATATTTGTAATACTTATAAAATGAAATATTAGATTTCTAGTTTCATAAATAAAATTTGAAACCTTGCTTTCTGCGGAGTATATTATTTGCTGCTAATTTCTTACTAGGCTTCTAAATTTTCTTGTATATGGACAAAATAAATAATATCTTTGTTGAATTTTACCAGGTAGCTACTTGTTTTTGTACCCTAATTTTGGTATTTATTATTAACATAAAACACAAATACCAAAAAGGATTGCAAGGGAAAGGGGCTTCAAAGAATTTGTGGAAAAATGAAGTTAAAAGATAATAGGATTTTCCCACTAACTTTTTGAAGCCCTTTCATATATTCACATTAGTAGAAAGAATACATTGCTTAAGAAGTTCTCTTAAGTCTCACTTTTTCTCTAAAGGGCCAGGAAGTCAATAGTTTAGGCTTGTAGACACATGAAATACCTGCTTCATATTACTAGTCTCCTTTTTTCATAATTCTTTTAAAATGCACAGGCTTGGTGCGAGCTGTGAGCAGTGCAGCAATAAGCTTTCTCTCCGTGTGTGGTTGCTCCCTCCTGTGTACTGGGCCTGTAGGTTGTCTGTTGCTGACCCACGACACCCAGGAGACCTTTACAGTGTCTGGTTAAATAATAGAAGTTAGATCAGAATTTGACTTAATTTTTAAGACATTAAACATTAGAAATTGTCTTCTAGTGCTTTTAAAGATAGGCCTGAAGGTTACATATTTTATATGTTTGATTATTTTTAAAAGCTAATGATATGATCTGAATTACATATTCTTCACAATCGTTTCAGTTCACATCCAAAGGGCCTCATAGATTTTTATGTGCTGCTTATGTGCGGTGCATGGTCCCTGTTTTCAGTCTCTTAAGGACTGCTGCTGGCTCACAGTGTGTGGGTAGTCATTGGCACATTTTTCTGGTCTCTTTGGGAATTGGCATTGTTGGCAAAGGCTGTTGACACCATGGGAATCAGCTGTCAGTTTTTACAGTCTGCTCAAACCAAAGTGGGAAGGGTTCGGTACAAAGGATGGCCAGAGTGGAGTACTTAGATTATGTGATACTCTTGTTTCAGCTTTTTGGATATCTGAAGGTCTCACCATAAGGTGGAAATTAATTTAATGAACTTAACACTTTTAGGTGATGGACTAACTCTCTGGTTTGCTATTCATGTCGCTTTTTATGAGTTAAAAGTTGGCCAAACCATTGCTAAGCATATGCTATGCAGCACACCTAGCTTCCCAAGTGCTGGCATGAATGTATTTAATAGTTCTCCAAGTGAGCTATAATTTGCAAGATTCTTAAAATCAGGAATGCAAAGTTGGAGGTTAAACGTCTTGTTACTTCCACCACTCTCCCCTAAGAATTTTAGTAAGTTATAAAATTGGAATATTGATGTTGGAACAAAGAATTAGGAAGATTTTTTGCATATAATAAGCTAATCTACAGAAACAAATACTTGCTTAAAATGAAATATTTTAGTGAAAGGATTATACACATTGAGGTGGAGTCAAACTTGGTGACCTAATGGGACAGCATCAAACTGGCCCTATGGGTTTCCACAGTCTGTCACACCTTGGTGGATTCGAACTACCAACCTTTCTGTTAGCAGCCAAGCACTTACCACTGTGCAACCAG